GGTATAGAATGTTTACGTCTATATTAAACATATCAGGTGTACGATTCGTTCAGTGGACCATGATCGTTATTATATTTTCATTAAATTAGTTCTTTTACGTCTATATTAAACATATGTCCATAAACATGAAAAATAAATATTGAAGTAAATTACCCTTAATCGCTTAAGCGATCCCGTCTATTTAGCCTTGGTCTACAGAGTGTAGAACAAATGGTTGTAGAGTTCAATTTTATATTTATATTATATTTTTTATATATTACTTTCTTGCCAAAAACTAACAAAAATAATAGAATAACAATATATCTTTCAGTTTTATGTACGATGCTAATTGACAAAGACCAAAGTGTTCTTTTCACTTTCTATTGAAATGAAAAAAATAATTAATAATAATTAATAATTAATAACAAAGGACTAAATATTAAATAAACATTACGGAATATAATTTCTCACTCAAACGTTCACAATATCAAAAGATTGAGGAGAAAAGAAGCAAATTGGCCTTGGTCGCTTAAGCAACGTAGGCTATCGCTTAAGCGATCACAGCTTATCTATACTAGATCACTTAAACGAAAGCTGACATCGCTTAAGTGATTGTGTATTTGAGAAGGATTATTCTAAGTACAAAAGCAAATTACCTTTGATCGCTTAAGCGATGTCAGCTCTCGCTTAAGCGATCCAATACAAATAAGTCGTAATCGCTTAAGTGACCAAGGCCAATTTTCTTTGTATTTTACTATTCCTTCTCAAATTCAAGATCGCTTAAGCGATGTCAATTCCCGCTTAAGCGATCCTATATAGATAAGTCGTGATCGCTTAAGCAATAGTTGATGTCGCTTAAGCGACCAAGTCCAATTTTCTTCGTACTAGTCTATTCCTTCTCAAATTCAAGATCGCTTAAGCGATGTCAGCTCTCGCTTAAGCGATCCTGTACAGATAAGCCGTGATTGCTTAAGTGATAGCCAACGTTGCTTAAGCAACCAAGGCCAATTTTATTTGTACTTGACATTTCCTTCTTAAATTCATAAAAAATAGCTTAAGTGATGTCATCGCTTGCTTAAGCCATTTTGTATTGATAACATCTCAATATTAAATGAATTTATATGCACAATAACATCTCAATATTGAATGAATTTAGTAGCACAATAAAAGCAACAATTAAGTAACTAGAAGCATCCTTACTATCATCTATTCAAAACTTAAAACAAAAAGATATCCAATTGTCAACATAAAAATTTGAAAACAATAAAGCATTTATAACAAGTCCATGAGACCAAAAAGGGAATCTCATAAAGTATTCATCAAAACTATTAAAATTGTTTTATGATTCACTAATAAGTCTTCAACGGTTGGCCTTGGCAACTCTCTCGATTTCATCATTCTTCTTGATGGCATAGCTGAAAATACAAAGACATAAAATCAGTTTAATGCACCACAAAAGATTGACATACAACCAAGAGAAACTAGTGAACAAGTAATGAAACATCATCTAACCACTTACCAAAATATTCAACACCCAAAACGTCTCATGTCTAATAATAGTCAAGTACCTATAATGCAAGTTAAAAAAAATTATTAAACAATATATTAAGGGTTGACAGATTTTAAAAAGCATCTAGAGTCGCTTAAGCGATCTGGTGTATCGCTTAAGCAGTCTGGTATATCACTTACTGCATCGATTAAGCGATTCAGTATATCGCTTAAGCGATCTAGTATAAATAAGTCTAATCGCTTAAGCGATCTGCTGCCATATACCTGATCGCTTAAGCGATCTACTGCCATATACCAGACTTATACCAGATTGCTTAAGCAATCTTTTGTCATATACCAAATCACTTAAGTGATTTGCTATCATATACTAGACTTATACCAGATCGTTTAAGCAATATACCAGATCGCTTAAGCGATCCATCAGATCCAAAACACATTTTCAGCCATCTCCACCTACAATCGGTGCTACCACCCCTAGCTACCCACAATACAAGAAAATATTCAACAAATTTCACTCCTTTCAACTTGTATTACATCAAACACAACCCAACAACCTAAACAACTAAATCAAAATCATAACCCAAACTCAATCCATTATTAAATCTTTGTAAATCCAAATATAAACTGTAAAGAGGAGATACACATACTTGAACGAAATGTCAGGAGGAGGAGGAGGCAGATCCTTGGCAGAGAAGATGTTAATGGTGGAGGAAGAAGAAAGTATTAATGGCGGAGGAACAAGAAGATATAGAGGAATGAGGAAGAAGAAGATGTAGATGAAGGAGGAAGAAGAAGATGTAGACGAAGCTAAGAAGAAACAGCAACTAGGGTAGGAATGCGTTAATGGCGAGAGGAAGAAGAAGACGTTTGGATTTGTTTGTAAGAATTTCGGGTTTTTGGGAACATAGGATAATTTTTAAAAGATTACACAATACTTCATTAATCCTAATTAAGCACTAATCATGTTTAATTACCATTAATAAATAATAAGCTACTTAGTTAACACTTTAAAACTTCATAGTCTTTTAATAAAATTTAAACTTGACATAGTCTTTTAATAAAATGCCCCGCTAGCTAGGAATGAGAGTATGAGACAAGAGAGATTTACATTTTCATCCCTATAGTTTCAGGCTAATAAATCCATGGACACTTGTTTCAAATATTATTAGTGTTCTGGTAATAGAGTCACCGTTAGGTATCTTGAAAAATATACATACTAAAATGACAAAAAAAATAATAATATTAGAGTTATGCAGAAGTTTATAAAGATTTATAGTACAAAGTGATGTGACAGGGGATGAATGGAAGAGTGAATATAAAAAATCAAAGGATGCATTTGGTTTAATATTCCTATCCATATTCCCAATCTTATTCCCAAAATATTTGTTTATTTAATTATTTAGGAAATATTATTATATTTTTTAATTACTTTTAGACCCCTTAAGTTTATTAATTTCCTTAAATACCCCTAGAAAAAAGTTTAAAAATTAACAAAAATACCCCCACCCACCCATAGTTGCTAGATTCCGGCAACCACTGTCGGTGGTAGCCGGAATCTGTCACAACAGCCTACAAACGACTGGAACTGGCTGGTAATTCACCAATCTGGCATTTTCCGGCCAAATCCACAATGGATTTGGACTTTTGCAGCCGTCAACGGCCAGATCTGGCCTTTTCTGACCAAATCTGTGGTGGATCTGGCCGAAAAATGTCATATTGACGCCCTACTCGCCAGATCCAACCGGTTTGCGTCGTAACGCCATTTTCTGGCCAGATTTCGGCGGTGGTGGCCGAAATCTGGCACTGTGGGTGGGTGGACGTATTTTTGTCATTTTACAAAAAATTTATATATTGAGGTGTTTAGTTAAATTAGCAAACCTATGGGGTTTTTTTGTTAATATTTAAATTTTATCTCGTAATACTCACCCTATTCAGCTACCCAATATTATTCTCAAAATCCTATCTAAAATAACAAAACAAGCAAACCCAAATTTATCATATTCACTCTTCTACTCATCTCCTATCATATCACTTTGTACGAGAAATTTAAACTTCTTTGTACGTCTAGCATTACCTTAAAAAAAACTCATATAATATACCAAAGAGCAAATACATTTCACGTGATATATTTGACAAATATGACACGTCAAAGTTACATGTATTGTTGACAAATAAAATAGAAAACATGATATTACATCTTTTTCATAATAGTGCACACCATTGTCGACGTAATTATACATGGTACAGATAGTTGCAATTTATTCAGATATCATATATTAATCAAACCCTGTATATCATCTATGATAAATTTGGTGGACTTCCCGAATTTCACGAGGACCAAGTAAGAGAAGATTTTTTTAAGATGAAATGTTTCTCTCCGTCGCTACACAGTACTTACAGACAGGAGCAGTAAAGATAGATAAAGAAGTAGATGATTCATAAGTCTAAAATTTCAACCTCGCCAAATGTGTAATTCACCCGTAATTAGTAAGAATAGATAGAGACCCAAAAACGTTAAGAACAAAACTGACTTGGCAATAGGGTACTTGCGGAACACGGATCATAAATCTTGCAATAATCAATACTGTTGTAAATTCAAACCATTTCGCCTCAAGTAATAAATAAACATATTACACATTAAATTTGTTGTGTAGTAAAATTGTACGATGGTCTCGCATTGTTTAAAGAAACTTAGGTAAACCACAGAGGTTGGGACTTGTGGACAGGTAGTAAGACAGATGGTTATCCAGAGATTTTGTGTTCGAATCATATAAAGTGATTATTTATTATATTTGTAACTTATCTGACCCATTAAGCATGTAAGATGTTCAATAGACTCCGAGGATTAGTTGAGCTTGAGGTACACGTAAACAGACTCGGATACTCCAGTTATGAAAAAATTGATCCATTGTACTTGTAGAGTGTTTTATAAACCCTGAATATTAGTTGAGGTGTAGAAAAAAATATGTTTATTCTACTAAAAAGTTTATGAGCATATTCAATATAAAAATTAACCGTATACTAAGCAAAATTTTGCAGGAAGCATCAACTGCTCTCTAAAATTGCAATATTCATTGATTCAAAGGCCAAAGAGTGATGGTGAGACATAAGACAGAAAGAGAAAGAAAGAAGAAAGAAAGAGCTTTGAGTAAAAAGCAAGCAAAACAAAAAGGCAACAAAAACAAAACCAAATCAAAACTTTCAATTTTCACCATGTCAAGCAAGCATATATGCCACTCCAAATGAGTACCCAGAAAAATAATCAGAAAAGATAACACACACAGAGGCGGTGCACAATCTCCTCTTTTGAACCATTTCAAGCATTTCTTCTCGTACACATTTCCAAGCAAAGTGTCTGCTCCATAGCAAAGTGAGCTGCTGGAGAATCTATCTTTATGTCCAACCCTCGCTACTTGTCCCTCGTTCCTTCCCTTTGAACATTTCTAGGACTATCCATTCTATCCCTATATAACCCTCTTTGCTTCCTCTCTTTCTGGCCTTTGTCTGAAGTTTTAAACTTAATTTGATCGATCAAAGCTCCAGCCATGGAGACTCCTCATAGAAACTGCAACAGGAGACTTTGCAGGATCCTACTGCTGCTTTGTTTAACAATGGCTGCTCTTCTCTTCACTCAATGTGGTAAGCTTCTTTATTATTAGATTGCTTATAACATTTGATTCTGCATTCTATTTCGACATCTCAAGCAGATTAAACAAGGGAGTCTTGAATTTCAAGATTCATGTTTGAATCTTCATTGTCAAGTTTAATAAAGTCTTTATCGGGAATGTCCAAACGATGCAAGCCAGCTTTATCGCAGCATTTTGCAGTCCATATAGTAAGCTGCTGCAAAAGCAAACATTAAAACATTCATATTATTGTCTTTTGTGCAGATGCAAGAAGATCAATGGGGCTAACAAGGAAGGATAGAAAACATTCAAGAAGTTCAATCATCAAGTCCTCAAAGAAATTGAGAGTAATCAAGCACGACGGTGATCCATCGTCGAACACCGGACCTTATGGTGTGAGTTCTCCATTTTCTTTGCCACCCTTTGATTCACTAGCTCCAAATCCCTTGCCTGAAAATGCTCCTCCATATTGCATTTATCCTCCGTTCACTCCTCAAGTACCACAGGGGCCTCCTTCTGCAACTCTTCCATCCCCTGTAGGATACACACCAACAACCCCCTATATCCCTCCAATTCTCCCTATTCAAAGCCCACCTCCAAGTCCCACAGGTTCAGAGCCGAGCCCATCCGGACCTTTTCCGACCCCTAGTCCACCCGAATCCTCTGTTCCTAGCCCCCCGGAAGCACTACCTAGTCCATACATCTACGTTCCAAGCCCACCAGGGTCCGTATTGAGCCCACCTTTTTATGAGCCTAGCCCACCTTCAGGTTCTACCCCAAGCCCACCGTCTTCCGTTCCATCTCCCACTGGGTTTGTTCCAAGCCCACCGTCTTCCGTTCCATCTCCTACTGGGTTTGTTCCAAGCCCACCAGTGTTTCTACCCCCAATAGTGTACCCTCCACCCATAGTGCCACCATCTCCGAAAAAAAGCCCAAACATTGCACTTTGGTGTGTTGCCAAGCCATCAGTGCCTGACCCAATCATCCAAGAAGCTATTAATTACGCTTGTGGGTCGGGTGCCGATTGCGATACGATTGAGTCCAGCGGGCCATGTTTTGAGCCCAATACAGTTTACGCCCATGCTTCTTATGCCTTCAATAGCTATTGGCAAAGAAACAAGGTTGCTGGTGGTACATGCTCATTTGGAGGCACAGCCATGTTAGTCACTGTTGATCCAAGTAAGTTTTAAACCGGCCCGGTTCTTTTTTTTTTTTTGGGCCTAATAAAACCTCGATATTACAAGAAAATTTATGGGCGACATAACGAGCTTTACTCTTGTAATATTTCTTGCTCTCTTTTGTCTTTCAACAGGCCATGATGGGTGCCATTTTGATTTCTATTGATTAGAGAGGAGTTGAAGAAAAATAGAAGGATGATTTCTCAGCACAAAAGTAAATTTTGTATAGTAAATTATGCAAATTAGATTTTGTGAGGGTGATCCCATATATGTTTAGGTTTAGGATTCAAAGTTTTTGTTTTGGATCATAAGGATCGATTAACCTCTTTGTATTAAGGTTATAAACTGCATTATTGCAGTACTTTAGACATAAATATTGTTCATTGTTATATCAACAACTTGGGATCAAAGAATGATTCTTTATCTATTAATCTTTCTAATCCAGAATATTCTCAAACACTTGTAAAATCATATCCCACATGCTCAGCTTGCACAACGCACAACATGGCTTTGGATAGAACTCACTTGTGTCTGCTTAGGATTTTTTTCCCAATAGTTTTAGGAGATTTTTAATTAGACTGGTTTTGAGGTGTTATAAAATCATTACTTGCCAGATTTTTTATGCACTGGTTTTTATTGACTCAAAAACCCCCTAGAACCAGTGTAGTACATTTTTGAGAAAATCGGGGTATTTTGGTTGGTTTTAAAATTTTATTCTACAAAACTATCCCAATTATATTCATAAATCACTATTGCCAATAAAAAAAAGCACAAACGCATGAAACTATCCCTCCATGCTTTGTACTCTCTTAATAATTAATCTATGGTCTTATGCCATCTAATTAGATTACTCCCTCCTAATAAAATGATTTATCATATGAACTTGCACATTTGTAGTCGTTCATAAATATGTTTTGCGCATCTCCAACCATATTAAATATAAAATAATTTTAAGCAATCATAAAAAAAAAAAAATTATTAAAATCTCATTTCTAAATACTTTTCTTGGAGAAGTGGAGCTACAATTTTTCAATCATTCTAAATGCCGCAAAGAATGACATAGAAGAATAAGGAGACTTTATCACATTTGAAGTTATAAAATACTAATAAATAGAAAACAAATAAAAAAACTCTTACCTTGTAATTAAAAAAACAAAACTCCCAAGTGCTGGTTGAAGTTAGGATATTTTCATGGGCATATAAATAATTTATCATTTTAAAAAATTGTTAGAACCGCTGGAAAATAAACTCCTAAGTGCAGGTTGAGCGTTTTACAAGCCGCTACTAAAAACCCTTCAAAACCGCTACGATGGTTTACCCTTAAAACCATTATGGTGATTTACTCTCATAACTACCGCCATGAAACTCTCAAGCAGACCTTAAATATTAGTCCCAACCACACACATATATATAACTAATCCTCGAGATCCATTGAACACCTTACAAGCCCAAAGAATCAAGTAAACAATAATGTTATTGTAGTAGATGATTTCAAAGTTTGAATAAAAAAATTTAAAGAAAGAGAACAAACTTACTTGACCGCTAGATCAACTCCTTGGGTTTTAAAACTCTATCCCTTAAAACAAAAATTTTATGAGTTAAAATAATGCAATTGATCGACACCTTAGTGAATGGTGTTCCTAGTCATAATCCACTTTGGGTCACCACATTGCTTGTAAGTGGACTTCACTTTATATACTTTAGCTTATAATATAATTTGTCACATCGTAAGTCACAAATTTATTGAAACTTTAAAGAGTTGGTGGAGTTGGGTCCAAAATATGATATATATATATATATATATATATATAACCTTAGTGGTGTAATTAGAAATAAAATAAACCAACAGGGACTGACAAGTAAAAAAGCAGCATAAAGAGGGCTGAATTGTGTTTAAAATGAAAGAGATTGGCTCAATGATAGCAAATTCTCACTAACTCACTTTCTATAAAGACGTATTGTATGTCTTCAAGTAAACTAGCTTAGACCATATATCTTCAAGTGGACCTCCGTATGTCTTCAAGTGAACCTGTATCTTCAAATGGACTTATATGGGTCATATGTCTTCAAGTAAACTCACATGGATTATATGCCGTATTGGTGTACGTTCATGACAAGTTGAGAATATATATAGTTTTATTAATTTCAAATTCATAGAAAATAAAGAAATTTAAAAAATATTATATTCTTATTTTTATTATTTATTTAATCGCCAAACTTTAGTCTCTATTGTTTATATTGAATCAACTTTAAAGTTTCATTAAAGTATGGGAGAACAACATTGCCCACCCAAAGTTTGGCAAAACAACTTTACCACCCTTCAAGTTTTAAAATGGCACTTTCTTACCGTTCGTTAGGTTCTGTTATATTCTTCGTTAATTTTTACTGAAAAAGATGAGAATACCCTTAAATATTGGACTTTATAAATTTTTTATTATTGTTTAATTAGCTAAAAGTTAAATATTAAAAAGTCAAAAAGGAAAAAATAATTAATTCTACTTAAAAAGTTAGGAATGATATTATGAAATTATTTAAAGTTAAATGACTTTAATATTTATTTATTTATAATGTCATATATCTTATTATTATTATTCAATAATCTATTAAATTTGTAATGCTTTTCATTTTTACCAATTAACATAAAAATTCAATATTCTTAATTAATTAAATAAATAAAAGAAAAAAAGTATCTTTATATTTGAACTAATAAATAATCAAATAAAGATTTTAACTTAATTAAATTTTAATTTATAATAAATTATTTAAAAATATTTTTATTTTTTCAAACAAATATTAACGTAAAACAGTAATAAAACCTGACAAGGGTGAAAAAGTGACTTCGGTGGGAAAATGTCGCTCTCCCTTAAAGTACCGTGATGCGTGAACATCGGAGCTTAAAACGGGAAATTACAAAAAGTTACCCGCCACGTGGCGCTAGTCTTATTAAATAAAGACTCGAGCACATAATTTATCGATTTCCCTCCATATTAACTATTCCTTTCAAATCAAACCCTAACTTTAAGTCTTCGTCATTCTCTCTACTGCGCCGGCGCCACCACAACCACCACCGTCATGGACTTCTCACCACCGCCGATTGACGACGGTTTCTCCGCAGAGAAGCTTTTCAACCAAGGCTACTCCTACACTTACGATGACGTTATCTTTCTCCCTCACTACATAGACTTCCCAACCGACGCTGTCTCCCTCTCTACGCGCCTCACTCGCAACATCGAGCTCTCCATTCCTTTTGTTGCCTCGCCGATGGATACTGTCACTGAGGACTACATGGCCGCCGCTATGGCTGCTCTCGGAGGCATCGGTATTGTTCACTCCAACTGCACGCCTTCCGACCAGGGTAGTCTCGTTGCCTCAGCCAAGTCGCGCCGCGTCCCGATCTTTTCATCAAATTCGGCGATTTTTAGGGCGCAGGACTGCTGGATTGATGATGTAACGGAGTTTGGAGAGTACAATCATCTTTTTGTCACCGAGTCTGGTAATTGTGGTTTAGTTTAGAGTGATTAGCTATGAAACTGGATAACGATTTCGGTAAAGTTACTGATACAACGAGATAGTAACTTAAAAATTAGTTTTTTAAGGGGCGGGACGCTTGTATTGATGATTTCATGGATTTTGGGATTATACCCAAGTCTGTTTACTGATTTTAGTGCGTTTAACTAGTTACTAGGACGAAGGTTAGTGAAACAACGAAATCAGTAACGTGAAAAGTTAGTTTTTTGCAAACAATGAAAAGTTATTTTGTGAAACAATGAAGTCAGTAACGTGAAAAGTTATTGAAACAATGAAATCAGTAACGTGAAAAGTTAGTGAAACAATGAAATCAGCAATGTGAAAAGTTATATTTGTAAATTTAAAGTGTCTGTGTTACTCATATTAATTTAGTGTCTTTATTTATGTTACCAGGATACCTATCTTAGCCGCTAAAACCATTAGATAAGTAACACAAAAAAGCTAAATTTGTAGTATAAAGTGTCTGCATTACCGTAGCTTGATAATGATTTTGATGACACTCATTATTATGATGGTTATTTGAGTTTCATGGGCTGACCTTTTTTGACTAATTCAGGTACTGCAAGATCGAAGGTATTGGGTTATGTGGCAAAATCTGATTGGGAGAATTTGAATGATAAGAAAGTAAAAATTTTTGATTATATGCGTGATTGCAGTTCCAAGGTTTATGTTTCCTCGGAATATGATTTGGGTCAAATTAGTGGAGTTTTGGAGAAAAATGAGCTTGATTTTGTTGTTTTGGAGAGTAATGGTGAGGTGGTAGATGTGGTTCTGAAGGAGGATGTGGAGAGAATAAAAGGTTATCCAAGATTGGGGAAGGGCTCAGTGGGACCTGATGGAAAGTGGATGGTGGGGGCAGCGATTGGGACAAGGGAATCTGATAAGCAGAGGTTAGAGCATTTGGTGAAGGCTGGGGTGAATGTGATAGTGTTGGATAGTTCTCAAGGAAATTCAAGTTATCAGATTGAGATGATCAAGTATGTGAAGAAGATGTATCCGAAGTTGGATTTGATTGGTGGAAATGTTGTGACAATGTATCAAGCGCAGAATTTGATTCAGGCTGGTGTGGATGGGTTAAGAGTTGGGATGGGTTCTGGGTCCATATGTACCACACAAGAGGTTTGTGCAGTGGGGCGAGGCCAGGTATAAGGTTGCTTTACAAACTAGACTATTGTTACTGAAAATTTTGTGCATACTTAATTGAATGGACACCAGTTGAACTCAAATAAATTGTACTTGGAGTATCATATATTGCAATAGTTCTGTTTGTATGTTGATACGTGACATTACATGTACTATAGGAAATGGTCTTTCTTTGAGAAATAGTTTAAACTTCTACATAGCTGATGTTTGAAGTAATTGAATAATGGCTTTTTCTTCAGAGTGAATTTCTAATTTTATACACGGCTTTTATATGTATTGTATTGCACCGTGAGCAATTTGTCCTATATATTTTTAGTAGGTTAGTATTAGCTTGAAATTTATTTATAATGTCCTAAATGAGTAATTGATACACTAAGAGTTCAATCTGTCTTGAATGTTTCAAGTCTTATAGAGTCTTGTGGTCCACTTTTTTCTCACTTTCTCTTTGTGAGGGATATTATAGTCTGGAATATGTAATGGTGACGTAAGTCATACCATGATTTTCCAGTCATTTTGCCATTTTGAGGAATTTTTACTGGATCATGTAACAAATATCCTTTTGTACTGAAACCTACGTTTCAGGCAACTGCTGTTTACAAAGTTTCATCTATTGCTGCACAAAATGGTGTGCCTGTCATCGCTGATGGTGGCATTTCAAACTCTGGACATATTGTTAAGGCTTTGACCCTGGGGGCATCTACTGTAATGATGGGGAGCTTCTTAGCGGGAAGTACAGAGGCTCCTGGAACTTATCAGTATCAGGTATGATAGTCCTACAGTGAAGTGCTGTGGATGACACTCCTCTTTTACTGAGTTTTCATCTTTTTGTGGCATTGTTCATTTGCTTCATCAATCCAGTCTTATTGTTTCGTTTGGATATTTTATCCTACTGAGGGCATTAGATTTTGCTTTTACATATTTTGGGATAACTATTGTGTGTTTCGTAGATGGAGATGAAAGTTTTATTATAGCAATCCATGGTTATTTACTACTAGAATGTTTCTTAGATGGAATTTTGTACTTTCCTGAAACTTTTAATGTTTTGACTTCTATTCCGTCTTTATATTGTGCTTAGTTATAATTATTTCTGAAGAAACAAGTTATTTTTACTTTTGGTCAACCGTATATTGCCATCTAAGGAAATAGGCAGTATAATGCTGCATAATGGAGTTTTATGTTCATTCTAGTGTGATATTAACATGCATATATACCTCTATTTGCTGAATAGTGATTTGAACTTGTTCAAGAAAATTATGTTGTTTTTCTTAATTAGGAGGGCTGCCGGGTAAAAAAATATCGGGGCATGGGTTCCCTTGAAGCAATGACTAAGGGGAGTGATGCAAGATACTTGGGTGATACGGCTAAGCTAAAGATTGCTCAGGGGGTTGTTGGAGCTGTTGCAGACAAAGGTTCTGTTTTGAAGTTCATACCATACACAATGCAAGCAGTCAAGCAAGGGTTCCAGGATCTTGGTGCTTCTTCTCTGCAATCAGGTCATGAGCTTTTAAGGTCAAGATCACTAAGGCTGGAGGTATGGCTCACAATTTGCTATTGTTCTTCTGAAGTGATTATGCACACATTCTGATGATTTTTACTGAAATTCTATTTTCCTGACTCTAGTAGCTATTATTGTTACATTAATGGCAATATATATAGGAAAAATCAATTAATTTGAGCAATTGAGATAATCTAATTGTGGCATTAGGAAAGCTCTTGGCATGATAAAAAGATAAGTAGATAAATATTTTATGTTTAAGGTGTTTCAAGGTTATAAACAGAAAAGTTTATAAAGGTAGTTTTTGAACATCAGTTTCAAATGAGCATTAATTAGCGTAAAGATCTCTATATTATTTTTTACTTCTCTAAAGTAACAAGGAAACAAACTACCTTTTTTTTTTTTAATAGGAAACAATATAACTATATATTAAAAAGAGAATGAGGTAGGTACATCAGTGGACTATAGAGATCCACAAGAATATCAAAAATCCAATGAGGGAGCCAAATCTATACAAGATAGTGACTAATGTTCCTTTCCCTATGTGAAAACAAGCAAACTGTACAAAGTTAGCGCAAAACCCCTGCCAACTAAGATGAACAAAGAAAAAAAGGAAATTCGTTGAATTCTTTTGAAACTGAAGCCCAAATAGAAGCAAATCCTGTCCCATAAGACCCCACTGTTTATCATCACATTTCTCCCTAAAAATACGAATATTTCTTTCTTGCCATATAACCCAAAGAAGAGCTGAAATGATACATTTCCAAAATGATTTGGTTTTGAAATGATACATTTCCAAAATGATTTGGCTTTCTTTCCTCCTTGAAAAGCAAAAACGTTCTCCGTAAGTAAAGCCTCACAAGAACCTGGGACAACTCATGATATCCTAGATTCTTTGCAAACTCTAGCCCATAATTTTGAAGCCATAGAATGATGAAGGAAGAGGTAGTTTGGAGTCTCCTCTCTTCTTTTACACATCACACACTAAGATGGAGATAGGCACATTGACGGATAAACAATGAAACAAGCTAACTTGAACCAACATACTTTTCAATTGCTTTTACTGAAGTAAACTCTGACAATGTAGAAGGTCCTTCGCAAAGTAATTAACTAAATGGGTTAAAAACCAGGTGTTTACCAATGACAAATTTATTTTGAGAATCCTCTTCCTCATACTACATCTGTTTGTAGAAAATTCATTTGTAAATTAGAGAAAAATTGTCCTTACAATTATCAGAACTTTCCCCATGTTTTCTGTCTGGTTTTGCAATTTGAGCAGATTTTTCAGATGCGTGATTTGGTATCCATGTGGTTTCCATTAGTTGATCTTGTCCGTATCTTTGGGTTATACAGGTCCGAACAGGAGCTGCACAAGTTGAAGGTGGAGTACATGGGCTGGTTTCCTATGAAAAGAAATCCTTTTGAGATTTAAACTGCTCTGCTACCCATCAATGCTGCTGCGAATTTTGCTCGGTCTCTGATTGATGCATTAGTATGAACAATAATCAAGTAAATTTGATCAACAGAAAGATTTTTGGTGCAATTTGTTTTGAGCTCTCGTGAAGTCGCGGACGTTTTAGCCAGGGCTGTCAAGAATCATGCATCCTCACGGATCTGTGCTCATTTGTTGTTTGGCATGAGGTAATTTATCTATTTCAAACCCCCTTTGCTGGGGAGATCATATTTAAATTAGTATAATCCTTTCCTTCTGCTTTTCTTTTAAGTTATGATGTAATGACCTACGTTTAATAATGTGAACGCATTCAATTTCTTTTTCTGATTCTCTCTGCAACACATAATGATCGATAAATTTGACTTGACATTTCAATCTTAAATAGTTTATTCTTACAATTTCTTTACACAAATTAAACATGCTATCTTGAGCTGAATCAATCACCTTCCATGTAAAAGAAATGAGCCGCTGTGCAAATTTTCCAGAACAAATCCTTAATAGGTCTTGGAATTATGCTTCCCTTTTCATGCAACACTCTTCTCAGTAGCTCTCCACTATTGCTATTAATATCATTTCTGATCCTTTGCCTGGCCTCATCTTCTGTAATAACACCATTACTATGATACATTTGTAAGGAAATAGCATTAAGTTTCCCTGACTTGGATTCTTTCTGCAATGCAGACATGCGCAAAGCAAAAGAAAAGCATGTACCTCAAAGTTAAGATACTTCAAAGTTCAACCACTCAGCCTTCTTCAACACAGACTTTGAGTACTTCAACCACTGCCATGTAAAAATTTGCTAATTTAGATCTCTTGTTGAACAAAATGATGAATAATGAAGGTCCGATGTGAGGTACCCTCAGGATTTCTGAGGAATTCCAACCCATAAATTTGCACGAGGCTTAGACACATTGAAATAAGAGTGTGATTGTTACCATTTGCTGACAAAAAGCCTTCTGATAGATCTGAGAAAGATAACACGACAGGAGTAAAGATTTCATCTCACACTTTCAGCGATGTGAGTTGTTACATCACGTCCTTGCCATGTAAATGCTTTTTCTCCAATCTCACAAATAGAGCTGTGAATTGCTGAAACTATCATCTCTAATTGTTCAGAACAACAATTGATGTCTTCCTCTACATTCCACCCGGGGTTCCAAAAAAAAAAAAAAAAAAAAAAAAAAAATTGGAAAAGGAACATACATCTTAACCAAATTGTACAAGGTTTACCGGTTCCTCAAAAGAGCCTCCAACATCAAAGAAGTCGTCAATGACAGTTGTAAGCACAATACTTTTGGTCCATGATATGCGGGCACCAGATAACTCAGGAGGCCGCCCCGGAGAAGTGAGAATTGGCCATCTTCAGCCCGTCCTATCTGTTCTCGGCAACCCACCTGCTTAATACGAGGAAATGATATGACAATTACAGACTGGACGTTAGAGCAAGAAGTTTAACTCCTATAACATGTGTTATTATGGATGTTTCTGATATCTAGGTTAAGTAACAACTACGTACTGTCATGGATGCATGCAATACCATTACCACCTATACATAATCAATTAGCATTTCTCCTAGATTGGGGAAAAAACTAAACCAATGGATGTGTACCCATATGAAGTTTTTAAAATCCTTGTACCATCAACAGAGTAGTGCTCTATATTTATCTGAGTAATGCTATATTTATACCACTCTTTTACACTATATTCATTACGGAGGTATTTGTCTGAGCTTATGAAAATTAGCTTATAAGCAATAGGTTTGAAATTTTAAGCAATTACGTGTTTAGTTAAAATACTTATAAGTGACTGATAAGTAGTTGACGTGTTTGGTAAAATGTGGCTTATAAGTACATTTTATTATAAAATGACTAAAAAGGGTATTACATTAAATAAGGGTGTACTATGAAATTTTAAAATTAAACAAGGATAATGTGGTAATATACTTGGTCAAACTAACTTATAAGCAGAGTGCTTATAAGCCAAAAAAAAAAAAAATACCTCTCCCGCAACTTATTTTTTTGGCTTATAAGCTCAACTTATAAGCTCAAAAAAGTTATAAACAAACATATCAACTTAATTTTAGAGCTTATAAACTAGTTTGACCAGCTTATAAGCTTAGACAAACACCCTCTACATCATGATGTGGCATATGCCACAACTACATAAATTTTTAATTATTTTTAATTTTTAATATTATAATAGAATTTGTGTGGTTATGACATATGTCATATAATGATGTAATAAAAATGGTGTAAAAGAGTAGTGTAAATGTAACATTACTCTATTTCTCAACGTTACAGTTGTGAATAGTATGGAAACTTAAGCCCATAAAAGATGGCCATTTTCCTAATAATTAACGTTCCAGTTGGGACTAAAAGCAGCTGCTTCATCAATTTTGTCAAAGGGATTCCTTGAATAATTTACTAAAAGAGGGACTGAGTATAATACGTCAGCATATTATAAAGAGTCACGTACATGAGAGAACCTGCATCTCTAAACTTCTCTTTAGATTGAGTGGAGATAATGAAGGTGAGTGAGAACAGCAGCTGTGGTGGATGGTGAATTAAACAGTGAACCATTCTTTCTTTGATATTTCATCACCATTTCCCAGTCTTGTAATTTCCCCATTCCTTCTGAAACATATGCCAAGTACTCTTTTCTTCCCTCCACCAAGCTTCTGTACCATTGAAGCTCAGATTACTGAGGTTGTCGCCTTTCAGGAGAGCTCATTAAAATCAATAAATTCAGCCGGATTTATACAGCCTTGTAACAAACCAAATTTGAGGTTTATAACAAGGCAATGCGTAAGTAGTTAATTTACATTTGTTCTATCTCAGTAGTTGAGAACTTGAAATGAAAGAACAAAAGGGAGAAGACAGGATATTACAAGTTTCACGTTTGATCGGTAAAGACTAACTAATATATATAGTAGATGTTGGCACTAACAAAGGCGATTTGAACGACAATTAAGAAATAATAAAAGGGAAAAGAAAAGGAACATACTTCTCAAACAATTCTACAAGGTTCCCCAGTTCCTCAATAGAACCTCCAATATCAAAGAAGTCATCAAAGACAGTGGATGCAGCCCAATATTGAGTTGTTCTTGAGAATATAAGAATATTCAATATTCATATTGGTCAGAATAAGTCAATCATGAATAACACTATGACAGAACTCTCCTTAAAATGTTTGGAGAGCATAATAAATTGTAATTCTTACACACATACTGGTTCTTGAATAACATCATTAACAAAATTAAACATGCCATGTAAAGTGAATCCATCATCTTCCATGTAAAAGAAATGAGATGCTTTGCAAATTTTCCAAAACAGGTCCTTTATAGGTCTTGGAATTATGCTTCCCTTTTCTTGCAACACCAATCTCAATATAGCTCTCTCCTGTTGCTGTTAATATGACTTCTGATCTTTTTAATGGCTCATATTCTGTAAAAACACCATTACTAGTGTTATGCCTGGGAAATAAGGGCTGACGTGGGAAGTCACGTGAAGAGTGACCTGCTCCCGTCAGAGCAACACGCACACGTCAGATCTGCCAAATGATATGGAGTTCACACGTGTCCTTTTCCCCTGCAATAAATCGTGCGAAATCAGCTTGGGAAGAGGAGCAATGGGACATAAAGCCGGATTATATCCTGACAATCACACCAACCCATGGATTTAATGATGATTACACGCTTCAGTTTGATATAAAATGAAGAAGACCCCTTCATTAAAGGGATTCGGCCATTTTTACATTGAGAAAACTCTCTCTCTCCTGTAAACATATTTACTTTTCATAACTCTCCTGTAAGTCAGTTCGCTGTTGCGACCTGACCCACACTAATATCAATACAAATCAGTGGACGTAGGACTTGCTACCTTAGCATCCGAACCACTTTAAAAGCTTTCTTTGCATTTATTTCACCTTCTACATTTATTATCACGTGTGTTTATTGGCCAATCAGCGTTACGCACGTGACAATTCGTTGGTGCCAAAATCCAGCATCAACAGTTTGGCGCTAGAAGGAGGGCCTGATTTAGTGTCTACCCTTCATCAGGAGAATCTTTGACCTACTGGTCTTACAGCAACAAATGGCCCGCCAATCTGAACCTGAGCAGGTCAACCAGCGTGCTGAAGGAGTCCCCCTAGCCTAGAGGGACACCCCTTCCAATATACCTCCAGTTTCACAAAATGCTGCTGGGAATATCCCGGTAGCTCCGCAACTGGACCCTGCCATCAGAAACTACCTGGAGAGGTTCGACAATACTCTCCAGACGGTCAACCAGAGGCTAGACCGTTTGGACCAAGGCATGTCATCTACGGCAGCCGGAGCGGTACAACCGCCAAAGACGCCCGTAGGTCGCGCGAAAGCGCGGCAAAGGGCGATAGCCCGTGCCGTGAGCACTGCAGCGCGTATGCGCAAGGGTAAGCAAGTGGCAAAAAGTAAGCCTACGGGCTCCCAAGGGCCAGCGAATACAAAAGGCGCCCCGAGCAGGGTGTCGGCAAAGCTGAGACTCGGTGAGACAGTGAATCCCGAGCTGTCCCATGCCACGTCGCAGGCAAACCCAAGCGAAAATGCTGGGCGCGATGATTCCTATCACCACCAGCAGAACGATCCCGATCGTTATCATGCGGGTGGCCCCCACACCTCGCGGGGCGGTTCGTACCACTGCGAGTGTCGTGATAATGCCCCGCACAATCCATCGCCTTCACACGCCTCTAGTCAGCGTTGTCAAGTGCGGCCGGAAATGCCGGCCGAGGCGAGGAGGAATCCGACCTCCGAACTTTCCTGAACCGCAACCGAGAAGGCTAGGCTCGTACGGGTGAAAGCAATCCCCAATTGGCTCCGTTACCACAAATCGAGGAGCTGCAGCGAGCTCTGGACAGGTTAAGGAAGCAGCAAAACGAACAGGCGCAGGTCGCCTCTGCATCCCCTTTTTCTCTCGAGGTGCTAGCTGCCCCACTTCCACTAGGGTTCAGGATGCCAGATATGCGGCCGTTTGATGGAAACTATGATCAGCAGGATCATTTATATGAGTTCAACGACCTGATGGAGCTTCACCAGGTTTCGGACCTTGCAAAATGCCGTTGTTTGGCCGTGACGCTGACTTCCCACGCCAAGCGGTGGTTAAGGTCGCTCCCAGCGGGATCGATCAGTTCGTGGCCTCAAATGAGCACGACGTTCCTGCGGCATTTCCAAGCCAATCGGAAGTTCTCAATGCCTTTGAGCTACCTCAGCAACATAAGGCAAGAAAGAGACGAATCCCTGCAGTCTTACATTGATCGCTTCCACAGGGAACTCAACAAGGTGGCTCATGCTCCAGAAGAGTCCATCCGAACTCTCATAATAGCTGGAGTTCGCCCGCAAACCGACCTGTGGAAGGAACTGTAGGCTGAGGACGATATTTACCTCACCAGATTCTATAACCTGGCAGAAAAGTATCTCCGAATAGAGAATTCATTGGCGGCACTCCGCCGTCGCGATCACGGCACTTCCAGCAGTATGCATGGTCAGGGAGATAATAGGCGAGCTGATCGCAAAGGAGACATTGACGATCAACGAAAAGGGAAGAAACCCCGCTACGAGCAGAAAAAGTCCTATGCTCCTGTTCCTCGTCGCGACCGTGACGGGACTCAATACACTCTGCTGAACGTGTCCATATCTGCAATCCTCGACAAATCTGAGGAGGCCAGCCTGCTCAGTGAGCCCGAACCCATGAAAACCCCTACTACGGCCAGAAACAGCAAAAAATACTACCGTTACCATCGGGATAATGGGCATCTCACTGATGAATGCCGAGCTCTAAAGCAGGCTATCGAAGAGCTCATCAAGAAGGGGCACTTCAAGGAGTACATTGATGACTCCCCAAAAGAAAACCAAGGGGAGCGAAAGAAAAAGCGTCGTGATCGCAGCGGGTATAGCAGTGTAAATATAATTTTCGGAGGTCCGCACCTCGCGGGAAACACGCGAGGAGCGCAGGAAAGGTATGCTCGCGAAGCGCACCATGACCCGATTAGGGTAATGAACACTTCGCAGCGACCTGAAAAAGCCAGAAAGGAAGAACCAATCACCTTCTGTGAGAAAGAGGCAGCTCGTTTGCACCATCCTCATGAGGATGCTCTGGTGATCACCCCCCTGATAGGGTGTCATAATGTATGCAGAATGCTTGTAGACAACGGAAGCGC